TAGATAGGTGAAGTAATTCAAACAAAATAATTTTGAACTTTATTACTCTACTCTGTTGAACGCCTATTCTACTCGTAAAGGGGAGAGCCCTGGTGCTTAATGGGTTAAATAAGATCGTATAGTTATATGTATATCATGTATTATGTTTTTATGTAGTCTGCCTGAATCACTTGTACCAGGCTATGGAAATTCATGTTTCCAATTTTGTATTTATTTTTCTTATGATACAGCATACTGTAAATTTGAATAATATTTGTGAGCTTATAGTGAGCTTATTTTTAGGAGAGTTTGTTGCGAGGCAGCATATATTTTGATTTTTCAAAATATTACTGTATATTGGTATGTTATACTTAATATTAGAATGTTAGGGTTTGGAATCCAAGTGAGAATATATACATTTTAAGACCTAACCAGGAACGACTGCGAAAAATGCAGCACAAGGTCCTCTGGTAGGAATCAAACCTACGGCCCTGCGATTCCGGTGCAGCGCTCTAACCAACTGAGCTACAGAGGCCAGCCGTTAAGCTGTAACCGTTAAGTTCATGTATATATAGGTAATCAGGTGTGCGGGTTGTGATAAGGTGGACTTCATGACTTAGATTCTGCACTTCACTTGGTGGAATTAATATTAGAATGAATCCAAGTGAGAATATATACATTTTAAGACCTAACCAGGAACAACTGCAAAAAATGCAGCACAAGGTCCTCTGGTAGGAATCAAACCTACGGCCCTGCGATTCCGGTGCAGCGCTCTGAGCTACAGAGGCCAGCTGTTAAGCTGTAACCGTAAGTTCATGTATATATAGGTAATCGGGTGTGTGAGTTGTGATAAGGTGGACTTCATCATGATTCTAATATTAATTCCACCAAGTGAAGTGCAGAATCTAAGTCATGTTATACCAACCTCGTTCCCAGGCTCTTTGCTCTTGTGAAGCAAAGACCCTGGTCGGGGCTGGTCACGTGACCCATAGAAAATTGATAACCTAAGAGGGGGATGGAAAAGTATCAAATTACATGTTTCCACTTCCGCACCTCACACTTCAATTGCAAGGAGTGACCGTTCTATACAATCATCTTTGAGAATCATATATATTTCAAAATACTTGCTAAGTTGGTTTCTGTTTGCTTTTAAATTATACAAACATGCTAAACTGCATGAAGATTCTTATAGCAACAAAAAAAGTCAGAAAATCAAGCAACGAAAACGTATGATCGTACATGCTTGGAAATATTTGCCCTTTTAGTTTTATTGTCTCGGGGTTCGGGCGCAGTTTCATTTCACGCGTACGTTTCTGTATCTGGCTCTGGTTCAGATACGTATAATATTCTTATAATGTCCCATTGAATTGTTGTCATATGGAAACGGTATAAAATTTGTTAAATAGAGGTCTCAAAAGCGACTGTGTAGGTCGTAGGCGCTACGCCTTGCTGGTCTTACAGCAAACGTTACACATTTGGACACTAGCCAAATAGACATTGAATGTCCATTCTATAGATTCTAAAACGGTTTATAGACATGGTGCTCCAGATTTTTTTAAAAAGGTTATCATCGTTTATATTCAACACCAGGTAGGAAGGAATGTTAGCATACAAAATTATTTGGGATCGACAGTAAAGAATTATACGACAATTGACAATTGTATGCATTTCCTTTTTTGTCTGCACGAGTACCTGTTTGTTGAAGCCAAAATCAGATTGCACAGAATCTCCGATATGAATTATATCGCCATTCACCCTCGCCCCTTGAATGCAAAGGAATGATAGCCGAAAAGGTTTAGCGAAGCATTTTTTTATTATATCTGGTATAAAGTGTCCCTACGTTTTATCAGGTATATATATATACGTAATTCATAAACTGTTTATATGCGCACGAAGTCCAGCTCATAGAATTACTTAATTAATGAGTTTTAATAAGCCTTTTAAAGTTTCCATTGATAGATAGGTTGTTTGCCTCTAGTATGGTTTGGTGAAACTGTTAAAATGTCATTTATACAGTATACGATAAAGATTATAAATAAAGTTGATTTAAATATTGATGACTCACAGCAGCATTATACACTGAGTCCAAAGAAGCTGTCGGGTTATTCTTCAAATATACAGCACTACTGAATGGGCAATGGGAATGAAAGGTCTTTATAAGGTTTATAATGTACCTGCTGTAAATTACTGTAATACACAAAATATGAAATAATTTACTATGAAGGACAATACCAGTGTCTGGTGCATATATCGTCCTAAATGTTCAAGTTATATGTACCGCACGCACGGAAACACACAGTGGAGTCTTGGTGTTCGTCTGATGACAGATAGCTATACTTCGAGTCTTCGACATAATCATTCTTGATCGTTGAGTTTCAGCAATGTAAATGAAAGGAATTTTACAGTCCATAACGGGTTTTAATTAATCCTGTGCTTTCACAGTCAAGATAGGCAGATAGCACTATTGTTTACACACAGTTAGCGATGTTTGGGAAATCTTCCATTATAAAATAAATCCTTTGGCTTTGTTGAATATCGGACAGGATACACTTCAACCATAAACAACCATATCGTTCATTTAGTATCGTTTGATCGATCAGTCGATATAGAATTGGGAAGACATATATGTTTCTACGGCGATGCGTGCTCAACTTCGCAAGCCAGGCGCGTGTGGAGTCCTTGGAAGTGAAATATGATCCAGCTTCTTGCTTGAAATGTACCGCAACACTTATAATTGATGACATTCAGTATAGCAGGAAGTTGTGTCATGATGAATACGAATTTAAAACTGTTCCTTTCACGATTTCTTGTTGCAAATTACATTTTTATCACCCGAAACTATAACACATAAAATTGCAATTTTCCAAACGCAACAAACAGACTCCTCTACCACCCCTCCCTGAGATCAATTCAATTTACCACGCAGAATCTGCGGGGTCACGTGACCAGCCCCGACCAGGGTCTTTGCTTCACAAGAGCAAAGAGCCTGGGACCGAGGTTGATGTTATACTTAATAGTGAGCTTAAGCAAGTGACGTTTTTGCCAACACGAACGGCATGAGTAACGTCAGAAGACTGGGTCAAGGAATGTGATTGGTGAAAAACGTCTATTTTACTTCCGGTCGACGTCCGTGTTGTCAAAAACGTCACTTGCTTAAGCTCACTAATGCTTTTGGAAGAGTTATAGGGGTCGGGTGTGATATACTTTTTCAGGTATTTTGTGTCTGATGTATGTAAGAGCTTTATTATTGGGTTTCTTGGTGAGACCTTATATCTTATGTGTCCTATAACCCCCTGTAATTGCGGATTATTGCATACATTCTAATTGTTTTTTTTTTGTAGGAGTCTGAAGATGCAAATGATACAATTTCAAACTTATCACAACCCATATTGTGGTCGTTGGCATCGAACTTACTAGAATACGACTAGAAACTGTCAATCATACGTTATCGAGGGAAAGGATGAAAGTTCCATAACAAGCAACAGTTGTTTTGATGCAATTATCGCCTTATTGGCAAGTTTTTACATCTTCAATATTGAGTACTGCCACACGAAGAGCATCTTGTCTGCTTTGCAGACTATAGTAGTGCATGGGCAAGACAGAAAATGGCATATACAACTGCCAGTGAGGGTCACAGCCCTCTTCAATGACTTGTCATGACTCATGAGTATTAGTACTACAGTAATTTTACACTTTTTGAGAGTTATGTTGACATATGCTAACCCAAGTTAATGTTATTGATGGAATGTGTGTATTGTCTCACATCTCACCGAACTGTGGTATAAATGTATTAGAAATTATTAGTATTGCGTTCATGTTAACAACCGCGCCTGCTATTGCTATCACAAGTTGATTGCTCTTTAAAATTAGAATTGTAACTACTTTCGGAGCCATATGGCATATATGTACGAATCTTTTGATGGTTCCCACATTTCGGTGAGATCCATAATACTGACTACTGTGCATGTATATTGTAATTTTAGTTATAGTATTGTGTTTATAATACAGAAATTGGAACATTTATCTCAACTTATATTGCAATAATTCATTCCAATCTTGGTCTGTTGGAGAAATTGTAATAATTTAATCAAGACCAAATAAACCCCAATATTTTTGCCTGATTCATTATATACATGTAGAATACGTCTACATGCAAGAGTGCAACCAAATCCACATGACTTTAAATGCTATATAAAACGGCACCACCAAAAAGCTATATCAGCTCGATCGGTTCTAAAGCACCTCTTCATTGGGGCTGAGACTGCTCTCCTCTGAAAGGGCCAGAACAGCTCCGGTTAACAAAGTAGGGGTTAAATTGGCTTTTCTTTTGGATCTATAATGGCTCTGAAATTGGACCAAATTGACCCTTTGGGTGCTACAAACTACACCATGAAAAAAGCTATATTAGCTCCTTCGGCTCTAAAGCAGCTCTTCTTTGGGGCTGAAACTGTGCTCTTCTGAGAGGGCCAAAATAGCTCTGGTTAAAAAAGTAGGGGTTAAATTGGCCTTTCTTGTGGTCTATAATGGCTCAGAAATAGAACCATATTGGCCCTTTGGGTGCTAAAAAACTACACCATTAGAAAAGCTATATCGGCTCCGTCGGTTCTAAAGCAGCTCTTCATTGGGGCTGAAACTACTCTGTAACTCAGTAGCCAAAACAGCTCCGGTTAGCGAGCCAAATCAACGCTTTTTGGGGTTCATTATGACCACAAATGGGAGCCAAATTAACTCCTCGAAATGCCAAAATAGCCCCCTAATTTTCTGAATTGGCCCCTATTGAAAGTTGAAATAGCCCCTGCTTTTGCCAAAACAGCTCCTACTAAAAGCTGAAACAGCCCTTACACTGGAAGGGCCAAATCACCCCTAGGGGCCGCATTGTTATAGGTGCCATTTTGACCCCCAAAAAAGATCTATTTTGCGGTCACCGTTTTGGCCCCATTTTTGGGGTCGTTTCAGCCCTTTTTAATTTACAGTGTATTGTGCAGTTCTCAAAACTACCCAAATGTACAGTTACCAAGTTAACAAAAATATAAAATATAACCTTACCTTAAAATATTAATTATTGTCATTTTCCTCGCGGATACTCCAGAAAATATCAGAAATGCAGTCACTGAGCATTAAAATCGAGTTTATCTAGCCTGTTCCGCACCCAATCAATAAAATGCACCTATGCAAATAAGAGTCTATCATAATTTACAACTTTTAACGTTAGAAATCTAATTCAGGTAAAAAAATCCTTTGACCCTCCCTGGGCTAGCTACTGCGCGGTTTGCCACCCAAAAATAGCGAATAAGGCCTGGTCGCATGACGTGAGAAAGGGTAATTGACGAAAAAGATTTTGTAAAAATGTTGGCCTTACAATATTCTCCTTACTATCGCTCAAATGGCCTTGTACATATAAGGTGTGTACTTAACTTTTTCAGGGCCTCTTTTAACATATAGACTGGGTGGGGACATGTCCCCCCAGCCCTCTTAGTGGCCCCTCCAGTCAGCAATTTTGTCCCCAACCCCAGTGCAAGACTGCAAGGTCCCTAAGAACTATCTGCAGTAGGTGGTCAATCAGCAATTGTATATCAAAGTGAGAAAATGGTGTTTTAACTATTAACATTTCTGATTTTGACCATCATCTGCAGTCCCGTAACTAGCTATGAGTTAACCGAGTCAGTCGCATGCATGACTCGGTTGGAATTTTGGGGACTGAAATTTAAACATCGCCAGAAACCTAAACCATGGCTGAAATAATTTGCTCGTGGAAAAAGGCATGAAATGGCATTTTAGGACAAATTCTAGTTTAGTTTTTCCAAGCAAAGATACTCCAAAGAGACCACCCTATCTTGCTCTTCAGTGACACTGAGAAGCGAATGCGTCGACATCAAGTACCCCAATACATGTAATACAGTACTGTAGAATTTGAAGTGTGGTGAATGATACTATACCACGCACATTTTCATTACCGCAATCATCACATCATGTTGCCTTATTGGGACTGGATTAAATTTGGGAGACTGTAAAATTGCAGTACTTGTGTCACTGTTTATAAAGTTAATTTCTTGTTGGAACACTCCTCAAAATGCTGGAAATAACCTATCTGAGCTTCAAGAAATCCAAAATTTTCTGGGAGGGATGCCCCCAGACCCCTCTGACGGCTCAAGCCGCACCTTTGGTGCTCGACTCGGTTGTCTCAGAATCCTAGTTACGGGCCTGATCTGCTTCCCTATTACGTATACTTATTAGTTAAAACATGCATATATATGCTGGTTTTTCCAAGTCCCCCGCGAAATGTCCCCCCCAGTTACACATCCTTAAGAGGCCCTGAACTTTTTGATGAGACTGCTTAGAAATATTGCTTTGCGAATATGTTCGTGGTGATTATATATAGGTATGTCCTGGCCATCTGGTACTTATGGTTTTCCCAAGACAAGCACGTCATGTCCTGATATGTGGATACCCGGATGGAGAAAGCAAATCATGGAAGATGACTCGGGAACAGGTTCAACATCTCTTTCCACTGATCTACGTATGCACATGGATGTAAGTTTAGTGGATTATGCCCTCACACGACATTTTTGCACCAAAACCATTGACAGTGGAGGAAGTCAGAAAGCCTGGCCGGGAGGTAGGTGTTTGGGACTAAAACGAAATATAACAGCTTACCGAACTTTTTCATTTTATGAAGAAAGACCTGCTTCACAGTTTTGATACATGTTTTCATTTTAAAGTTTATGACAGCCTGCCGGAACATATAGTCACTGACATATGCTCAGCAGGTTTATCCAACATTGAATAGTAAAGAGCAATGTTGCATTTGGAATGCTTATATATGAATCACAAGTTGTCTGATTTCCATATATAGATTACAGGGATAAAAAACACAGACAGACATCAAAGTCCGATGGTTTGTATCTTGAAAGGTGAAAGATGTGGTTAGGGTTATATTTCAACTTTATTTCGTCATGCTTCTTCACTGACGAACGAAATAAGATTTTTGTGTGATGATTTTAGACGTCCACATCTTGTATTTTGCAGGACGCAATGTTTCCTTGACCATGTCCAATTTCATATCTCTGTATGTGCACTAGCTAGAGTTTAAGCAAGTGATTTTTAAATTTTGGGGTTTAGTAACAATGGCAACATTGGGCAATGTTTCTCGTCAGCCCGAAAAAGACAAAAATACATCTCGATCTTTAGTGTTTCATGCGAAGCATTCTTCTCAGTTGACTTGTAAAGGAGAAGAAACAACTCCCCCTGATGAAAGACCTTTGATGTTTGATGTTGAGGAGTCAGGCTGACTAGAACCCATACCTAAGATTGCTTTAATTGTTTACTTATTTTCAAAAGGAATGTATTGCATCTACAAGAAGAACCAATGTCCATCCGGCATGAAAGATGGTTTCATCAAATGGGACGATGAGGACACTCCCAATAAAGATGGCAATGATAAACATGGTATTTTACCTGATGGTGAATTTGGTACTACTGATGGCAACGACCTTGCTACAAAAATATCATATTGTTGTAATGATCAAGGAGATTGGAAACAGTCAATAGAACTTCCTGTTAATGAACCATTCTACTTACTACCACACCAGTCTAAGAATTGCCAACGTGTTAAAGGGGCTTTGAGTACACTCGAACACATTACTTACGATACTGAAGACTCTAATAATCATGATGCTCTGCAAGGAAGTCATGCTTACAAAGATGACGTAAACGGATTACCGACAATATATTACTGCTATTACAAAGGTATGTT